TCAAACAGAATGGGCAGGAACTGATTGGACAAATCTAAGAAAGTTCCTGCTGGTCTTTTTCTCTCTTGCCTTCTCTAACTGCTGCTTGAAAACTAACAAGGACCAAGTATCCCCACCCCACCCCATGACCAATTATTCTAAATCAGAAGTGGGGAACCTGTGGCCCTACAGATGTTATTGGACTCCAACTCTCATCAGCCCAAGTTAGCAAGGCCCAATGCTGTTGTTGCTGAATCAGAGCTAGACCCCGTAAATTTTAACCTTGACCCTTATGCTTTGTCATTACATATTACTTCCTCCTTTTATTTTTCTTTCAAAACATTCCCACAGCCAATTAGTGTTTCTTTTTTTAAGTTGGCAGGAAAGCAAGATTACACACACACACACACACACCCTCCATAACTTATAGATCCTAGGCATATGGGCTTGGAGCCAGCTAGAAGACGAAGGTTTGTAGTAGCTTCATTAAGAATGGAGGAGTTGAGCGTGAAGTCGCACTGCAGGCTTCCTCCAGGGATTTGCTGCAGTCTCTCAGGAGATGGATTACTACCAGCCTTTTTTTCCACTACCAGATTACTGCAGCAATGCTACTGCTGACGTTTTTACTTGAGAAAGAGGAACTGGGATTCTAGTGGGAAATCAGGAAGCCATCCAGGGCTCCACTGAGATCCTGCAAACCTGAGTTCATTTTCCAACTGCCGCAGCAGAATTTTGCAATGCAGATAGAAAATGTACCGGTAATCGAACTAATGAGCTACAGAGGTGACAAATGCTTCCATTTATTCATTTGTTTGTTTGTGTTAAAAAGCTTTCAGAATTAATTTCCCAGGCACTCATTTTATATCAAGATGTTCCATAATGCAGAATGTTTTGGCATCGACTGTCTCCCGAGTTTATTTATTTACCTGTTATTTAAAAGCATTCTGTTTTTTCAGTGCTCAAGGGGATGGTCGGAAGGGGCTCACTGCATCTTTAAAAACAGGGTCATAATATCAAGAATAAGGTGAACATTCTAAATTAAAAGGGTGGGGGGGTAGTGGGTAAAACAAGAACCATTTCACTAGATAGCAGAATCATTGCAACCCAGAAGGCCAATCACTTCGAGGAAAAGGAAGGTCCTTGCCAAACAGCAAAAGATCACGGGGGCAGGGTGGGTGGGAGAAGGGGACATCATGGACCTCCTTTGGTAGGGTGTTCCATAACCTTGGTGTGGCCAGAGAAAACGTTCTCCCCAGCATCAGAGCCTCAGCGACTGATGGGAGAGACAGGGCTGGCCTTAGGGAGGCAGAGTAAGTTGGCTGACTCAAGCAGAAGGTGCCAAAGGGCAGAGGGAGCTGAGTGGGGCAGTGAGGTGTTTTGGGGCACAGCTGAGTAGTATTACCTGCCCCACACCCCCTAGGCCAGTCTGCTGCCCTTAGCTGTGTAAGAACAGTGTGTGCTGTCCTGTTGCAAATATTGGAGCAAGATTAAACTGCCAGTCTGGTTGGCTTCTGTACGTGGAATGAGGGGGCACCATTTTGTCATTTGCCTCAAGCAGTGAAAAGTGGGCTGGCCTGAAGGAGAGCCTATGCAGAAGATTTTAAGGAATGGATAGATTCAGTTGGGGTGAGGTTGGCTCCCTTGCCACGTTTCAAGCCACACTTGCAGTGTTGCTCGCATTAGAGAGGAAGAAAATATATCTTCACCCAAAGTACATGACCTATTTGGTTCCCCCCGCAACACCTTCCCCCTGAACTCCGATTCACAAAGCTATGCACATGTCTCAAATGTTCACACTGTTCTTAAGTATGAAATGAAAGCGGCCGAGGTTTTCTAGTTGAATTGAAGCTGGTTTGAGGAAAAAATGTATCAAACAGAAGTATTTGTCAAGAAACTACAGGATCAGTGTAGACTGCGAATATGGCTTCAAAAATTAGCAGTGGAAGCACAATGGATCTGGAGTTAAGTGGTAATGTGAATGTAAACTCCCTCGTTAAGATTTTGGGTCATAGTTATTTTACAATGCAAAAGAAGAAGAAGAGTTTGGATTTGATATCCCGCTTTATCACTACCCGAAGGAGTCTCAAAGCGGCTAACATTCTCCTTTCCCTTCCTCCCCCACAACAAACACTCTGTGAGGTGAGCGGGGCTGAGAGACTTCAGAGAAGTGTGACTGGCCCAAGGTCACCCAGCAGCTGCATGTGGAGGAGCGGAGACGCGAACCCGGTTCCCCAGATTACGAGACTACCGCTCTTAACCACTACACCACACTGGCTCTCTAAAAAATCTGTATGCCTCTAGAAAAATCTTTATGCCCCAGAGCACAGTCTCTGCATTGACCCGATACTTGGCACCTGTAGTTCCCATTAAAGCAGGACAAATGTCACATTTTAACAGGTCACTTATGGGCATTCCTCCCCCTGTTCTATTGTTGGAAGCATTTCTGCCCAGCCAGGATATTGATTGTAAACAGACACGAGTAAGATTATTTATATTTGTTACATTTACTGCAGACCTCAAAATAGAATGCATTTAACAACAAGCAACAGCAAATTCAGGTATGCGCAGGCTTCAAGGAAGTCAGAGCAAATTTAGAGGAAGCCATTAGGCTCAGTTACCTAATTAGGTTTGCATGTGCTATTTTCCAGAGGTTCTTTGTTTGTGGCTGTATAAACAATGGGGGGATTTTTAGAAGGACAATGAAGAACATGGACATTTTCTGCATTTTGCATTACTGCAAAGGTGTTAGAACTTATTAATAAAAAGAAAATTATATATTTCTACAAAACAAAAATGATTAGGGGGTATTTATTTGCTTACTGAATTTATATCCCACCCTTCCTCCTCCTCCTCCTCCTCCTCTTGCTTTCTGCCTTCAGAAAAACTTGCATGGGGTTTTGGTTTGTCTTTAAAAGAAAAGAAAAGAAAAGAAAAGAAAAGAAAAGAAAAGAAGAGTTGCAGACATAATTAGCTGAATTGTACCATCTAGTGGCTCCATGGAGAATATCCCAGGCCTAGAAGTTATATCCCAGAAACACCTAAAATTATGTGATTTATTATGCAGCAAGTCTTCTCTTACAGGAAAATAATAATAATTGAGGTGAAACATAAGGTGAAAATAGCTTTCAGGGGACTGTGGAGGAACTCAACTATTTTTGATGGACAATTGTGTACCTTACAAAGATAAAAGAGGCGTTGGTAATGTAACCTAGGGAGGACAGAGTGAGAGACCAAGGAAAACAAACTCTTGTGAAAGTTCAAGAAGGGGTTTTTTTTGCCAGTAACTGCCATCTCATTTATTTCATTTGTTAAATTTGCAGCCCCCACCTTTTCATTAACTACTGTTCAATAAAATACAAGGTACAAAACCCCCCATATTTTTAAAGGCAGGAGAAAACACACCAATAAAATCAAACATGCTTTAAACATTTTTCTGGTGTCACTGCTTCTGACCCTGAACACCAAAAGGTCTATTATAACACATAACAGTGTTCCTCCAACACTGCATAGGTTCATCCCTTACCCATTGGTACTGATATCCCCAAGGAAAGAGAGCTTTCATGGCAGAAATGGAAACCCTCATGCAGAATGCAGCCCCTCAGGCCTCCCTATATGGCCCTCGGAACTCTCCCCCAGGCCCCACTCCCTCTCTCCAGGCCACGCCCCTTCCTGCCCCTGCTCCTGGATGGGATGTGTCTTGGAACTCTGATCACACCTCTTGCTTGTCTGAAGACAAATCTACTGTAAATAAGGGTAGCGCGTCCTGTTTTGTTGCCTGAGGTGAAATGGTAAAGTGCTACCCTGCCACCATGCGGTCTCTGCCGAAGCCACCCTTATCTGGATTGCACAACAACACTTGCAAAGCAGCAATGGCAATGGTGGTTTCTGGCAAGATCTCATGAGATCGCACCAAAATCTGGTGAGATCATGTGCATTCCATGAAATCTCACTCAATTTCAGTGAGATCTCACAAGATCTCACTGGAAACCGACTCCGTTTCTCTGCCTGAGGCGGCTGCCTCAAACTACCTCATGGGCGGACCAGCCCTGACTGTACAAGAATAAAATTTATGTTGCACTTTTGCCTCTGCTCACCCACCAAACACTGGCATGTGACTCTTGGAAGGCTTTCCAGAAGTGGATATGATTCCCAGGCTTTTTTTTAAAAAAAAGGATTCCACATCCTTCTTTTATAGAATGATTCTCTGTAGAATTACCGATCAATTTCTCCCCTGCGTCAGGAAAATGCTGGGCAATAGGGACAAGATGGCCATAGCCTGATAAAGAATATTTGCTTCATCCTTGAAGAAAGTCCTTACAACCTGAGGACTTTGTTCTGCCCCAGACTTGACAGCTTTGAAACACAGCCTTGCAATAGAAAGGAGATTATTTCCTGCCCCATTAGGGTTGCCATGTTTTGAAGAGCAAAAGGAGGACACATTTGCCGACTTCTACTTTTCGCTGTGGTGACTTTCATTTTACATACCCATGAAAAAGAGGACGTGTCCTGGAAAAAGAGGACGTATGGCACCCCTAGGTGTAGGGAACTACCTTATGCTAAGTTGTACCACTGGTCCATCTAGCTCTGTGTTGTCTACACTGACTGGCAGAAGCTCTCCAAGGCTTCAGACAGCAGTTGTTATGTACTGGGTTGAATAGGATCCAAAATGCAGCAGTCTGAGTGGTCCTAGAACAATAGGATCCAAAATGCAGCAGTCTGATTGGGCCTAGAACAACAGGATTCAGAATGGAGCAGTCTGATTGGTCCTAGAACAATGCAGCAGTATGATTGGTCTGCAGGAGCCACCCAATCCAGCTCCAGATGGAAGTGAATCCACAACCTGATTGGCCTACAGGAGAATTCCGGAATTAGCCAATTACGTGCAGCCCATTGTGTAAATAATGTATATAAAGAAGACTTCAGGGGAACTTTCATTCCTCCTCACCACTTTGAGCTGAATAAAGAGCATGAAATCCACTCTCGACTCCGAGTATATTTCAGCGGTCTTCCCCAGGCTTACCTTGAGATGACAGGGATTAAACCTGGAGCCTTCTGCATGCAAAGCAGATGATCTACCCCTGAGCTACAACTCTTCCTGAATGACAGCTCACCACCACCTGTCTATCTGAAGAAGGATTTGGATATTAAGGGGGAAGGAATTTTCTTCATCATCATCATCTGTTTCTCCTCTTCATGTCTACACCACCCTTCTTCTTCTTGCTTCTGCTCTTCCCATTTCCATCTCTCTGTGGAGCAACACGCTCTAATCCAAACCATTTCTATTTCCTTACTTAGGAACTCAATGAGTCAGTGCTTTTTGGGGGGTTTTTTAATTACTAAAATGGGCCTCAAAATCTGATTTTCTGTTGGAAATCGCAGCACAGGCAACTGTCATTTCAAGGGCAGCAATAAGGAAGTTCTGCTTTTAACCACACCGTTGCTGAAATGAGGAAGTTGTCGCTTCTGTGAAGATGAGGAAGTTGGAGATAAATATAGTTTCTGAAGATATCACAATGCACGGTGAAGGCAATAACGTGAACATTCAGTATCAATAAATGACAGATAGCTGCTCCAGTGTTCCTTTGCCATTCTCATCAACAGGAAAAAGAAAAAGAAAAACAAGGAGATGAGACCCAGACTTGACCACAAAGATAAGAGATGATATAAAATGGCTCCATATAGCAGCCTTCTCACTTCCCATTTCCTATTTATCACAGCTGAAATAACAGATTTTCCATTGCTCTTCAGCTTTGGGAACAATTGCTCACAATAATGCTTGGTCAAATGACCTAATGAGGTTAAAGCCCTACTACATTTCATCTGAGCTCAGTGGAAGACTATACACTGAATTAGGTTTGCGCTTTTGATCTCTTTAGGTTTCTCTTCTAGAATAAAAACAACAACAACCAGAGCCATAACGAACAATAAGTATTTACAATGGCTTGAGTTCCTGTGAGCAGAGTTACCCCTGAAGCCCCCTGAAAATCTGCTCGGGGGGGGGGTCAGGGCCACAATAACCATTAGGCTATAGTCTTAGCACAGGACGCGGGTGGCGCTGCGGGTTAAACCACAAAGCCTAGGACATGCCAATCAGAAGGTTGGCGGTTCGAATCCCCGCGACGGGGTGAGCTCCCGTTGCTCGGTCCCTGCTCCTGCCAACCTAGCAGTTCGAAAGCACTTCAAAGTGCAAGTAGATAAATAGGTACCGCTCCAGCGGGAAGGTAAACGGCGTTTCCATGCGCTGCTCTGGTTCGCCAGAAGTGGCTTAGTCATGCTGGCCACATGACCTGGAAGCTGTATGCCGGCTCCCTCGGCCAGTAAAGCGAGATGAGCGCTGCAACCCCAGAGTCATCCGCGACTGGACCTAATGGTCAGGGATTCCTTTACCTTTAATTAGCCTACAATGCCATTTCTCTGCTTCCCACCTGGTGTCATATGTACTTAGTGTAGTTCATGAGACATATGTACTTAGTGTAGTTCATGAGTTTTGAATGAGTTTCTGTCAGCTGATGGGTGCAGACAGTGCAACTCCAGAAGAACTCGTTCTCAGTGCCCTCTGTTTCCCAGCTCTGTGGGTGGCCAGTTACTGTCTCTTAGCCTTATTTTCCTTTCAGAGTGGTTGTTGTGAGGATAGGTGGGGAAGGGAAATAAATGTATGAACGCCATCTTGAGCTGCTTGGAGGAATGACATTGTTCATACCTTGGCCACAGCCAAAGTCAGGAAAAATGTTAGTGTGGTGAATGAATTCTGTTTGGAGATTCCCACCCCCCTCTGGTTTGAATTTATGGTTTTATTTTACTCCCTTCTTTCAACTTATGCCCTGTCCTTCTTGCAGAAAGGAGCCCAGGGTAGCAAACACATCCACAATCCATAAAACACAAACACTCTAAAGCAGTTAAAGCATTCTAAGAACAATTGCAGTTAAAAACATTTACCATTAAAAGCATGCTGAAAGCATTGCCGTTAAACACTTCATTTCATCCAGCAATGTCGGGATTGCCAGGAACAGTGTTCTTCAGACACTAAATGCCTTATTTCCCTCATGCCTTTAATCCACGAGGGGTTAGGGGCATAGGAAGCTGTCTTATACAGAGTCAGACAATCTGTCTCAGAATCTTCTGAACCAGAGATGGGAAACTTATGGGCCTTCAGCTTTTGCTGCTATGTTCAGCTACGGCATTGTGCTTCCCCAGGAAATCTACTTTTCTATAGATTTATATGGATGAGCATTTAACTACATGATTTCTCTTACCAGTAGTCTGAACATGCTGTGCTCTTTGCGAAGACTGGTCCTTGGCAAGGGGAGGAAAAACAATGAGGAGCACCTCAAAAAATGCCAGGCCGGGGATGGAAGAGCTGCAACTTTTCTCTTCATCTGTAAGGACTGGCTATCAAAATTTTCCAGGGCAAAACTGTAATTAGTTTTCTCTGCTTGCCATTGGCTTTGGCGCCCCCTACTGTTGGGCTCCTTTCCCCCCTACCCTATCAGTCCCAATGTTCACCAGTCACCATTGCTCAGTGGTAGAGCTCATGCTTTAAATCCAGAAGTTAACTCTATTTCCAAGCAGGGCTGGGAAGGGTTCCTGCCTGAAACTCTGGAGAATTGTGTAAGCAATACTGAGCTAAATGTACCGATGGTCTGATTCGGCATAAGGCAGCTTCCTATTTTCCTAAGTTCCATCATATGCAATTAGGTACACATGGTTTATGACAATAAAATTGTCATTGTGGAGCAGAAATTATTCCTCGCTCAAACACAAATACCTACCTCGCTAATTGCCAGTTAAATCAACCCACCTGCGTCACCCAATAGCTCCCTCGCTCCTTCCTGTGCCAGCAGAGTGAAAACATGATCTGTTGGGATAAAACTATATTTGTGCTTTGTTATCTAATTTGTTTCACAGAGTTGGCTTTTGTTTCAATGGGTGGGGGAGAGAGAGTAAGGGCCTATATAAAAAGCCTTTGCAGATAAAATGACTTCTGAGAAAAGCTTTAAAGGAAAAGATAATACCGTATATACTCAAGTATAAGCTGACCCAAATATAAGCCGAGACACCTAATTTTAGCACAAAAAACTGTGAAAACTTATTGACTCGAGTATACACCGATTCACCACACCACAAACCTGGTGGTGGCAGCAGTGATGGAGGAAGAACAAGCAGCCCGAAAGGGCTCCTTTTGGGCCACTCGTCCCTCCACCGCTGCCTCTGCCACTTGCAGGGGCAGGCACAGGAGCCACAGTTGGGAGAGGTGCTGCACTGCACTGCGCTTCTCCCAACCACAGCTCCTGTGCCCGCCCTTGCGAGAGGCGGGTGGCGGCGGCGGGACCAGCCGGGAGAAAGGGCTCCTTTCGGACCGTTTGTCCCTCCGCTGCCACCCGCCTCACTCGGGTATAAGCCAAGGCGGGATTTTTCAGCATAAAAAATGTGCTGAAAAAGTCGGCTTATACTCGAGTATATACGGTATGTGCTGAAGTCTGTAATCCTGTACAAATTTAACTGGGACTACATTGCATTATTTGAAGCTGTATAAAAAGCTAGACTTGAATCACTCACATATGCTTATCTCTGGATGACTGCAACATCCAATGATGACTTGCACGTATTAAATCAAACAATAAGCATGATTCTTTAATACACACAAGTCCTACTTTATGAACACTTGCTATGCAAAAATTCACTTATCTGAACACAACAAATTAGTACCCAAACCTCTCTACATGCACCGCAGATACACACCCCAGATTACACGTTCAGGAACACATTAACAATTTTCCCATAGGAATCAATGGAAATCGTTGACTCATTATGCGAATAAGAATTGTAGACTCTTTATGCAAACGCTCACCTCGCAAATGATTTCCAAAGAACCGAGTGTACTGTACATTTCAGTGAAGTCAGTTAACATATTCAGCTGTGATATACAAAGCTAATGGGCTCAGCTATGTACATAATTATCCTTAATCCAGTCTCCACTTCCCCAGTGCTCAGATTATGGGGAAATAGTAAGCATCACCCACTGACTCGTGCCAATTTTAGCCAAATCATGCTCCCCAGGTTTCTAAAAACAGTAGCTAAGGCAGGACAAAAGGTTTAGGGAGCTACCTCCTGCCGCAGTATCAGAGCACTGCATTATCCCACCCCCCCTCACTGGACTAAAATGCAGGAAATGGCAAAGAACAGTCCTATTTATGCATTCTGTGTTATCTGCATATACACTAAACATGCAGACAGTGGGTGGAGCAACATGCCTCTGTTCATATAAGGAAATACTTTCTCAGGGCTCCTGATCTTGAGAGCTGGAAGAGGATATGTGGACTTGTTCCTCAGTGGGCCGTGGGTCACTTTCTGGTGGGCTTCAGTGCCACAGGCTGCCCATAGCGCCTCCTCAGTTGCCTGCCCTGACCCCTAGCTGCAGCACTGCCTTTTGATCGGACCAGGACCAACAATGTCATCTTGCCTACTGAGGAAAGGTGGCCAAGAGACTTTGGCTGCATTCACATTGCAGTTTATTCTATTTTCCCAAGGTTTCCCCAACTGTTACGTTCCACATTGTATTTGAGCTTTCACATGATGTAGAAGCTATTTCCAGCACTACAGCGGAATATAGAGGAACTATAGTGCAAAGAGTTTAGTACTCATCTCTACATTATTTGGAAATGGATTTTTCCCCCCTGGAAGCAAATAATATGGAAAAGAGCACTAAACCTGTACAATATTCCGCTACAGTTCCAGAAGTGGTATTTATGTCATGTGAAAGTTCATATATAATGCAAAACTTAACAGTTACAGAAGAGCTGTGAAAAGCAGAATAAACTGCCATGTGAATGCAGCTAGTGCCTCTGAATAAGCAAATTCTGCCTAAAATAGGGAGGCTGAGTCACATTACCTACACTGCAAATGTCTGGACTTAGCTTGAGGAAAACTGAACCATAGAAAGTCTTGTCACAAGGAAAATGCTGTAAAAATGAATTTAGTATTTACCAAAGATGTATTTGATATCAATGGGAAATGGTACCAGTAATTGCCAGCTGATTGTGCCACACTCTGCCTCCACCTGCCACCACATTTTGTGACTGGCTCTGCCACAGCACCACCATTTTGTGACTGGCGGGCCTTAATAATTTGCAGCTATCTCAAGGGGACCCTGGGGTGTAGAAAGTGTGAGAACCCCTGTGCTAGAAATATGTTAAGGTTTTTATTATGGAAAATAAATAACCACGACTGGAGCTAGATATTGGCTAATGCAATTTATGTATTCAGAGCCTACCTAGTTTCTGTCAACTTGAGTTCTGGGATTTTGATTCTTCTGGGCTTTGCTGGTGCGTCACAGTAACCTTGGCTACAGAGCAGCTATTGATTCAGAACACAAAGCATGTATGAGAGAATTTCTCTGCACAATTGAGTGATTGTGGCCATTACAAGCAGCTACTGTTGCTGAAGCAATTCTAGAATTTTTGCCACCTCAGTAAATGGTAATAAACCTGGTAGGAGTTCTTCCTATACTTTTCCTTGGCAATCTTGTTCACTGGAGAGGCCTCATCCTGGTTACCAGCCTCGCTAAATCTTTTCAAATGTAGTCGTGGTCTTTTTCATGTGCAATACACACTTTCAGACATGGAAGGTATGTTAGGGAGAGAAATGCAAAAGTCCAATTTGAAACTTTCTTATGTAGAAGTAGGGATGAAGGAAGAATTCAATTCAGTTCACATTTAAAGCTGAATCTGTCAAATTCACACTTTCTTAAACAATATGAGAATTGAAACACAGTCAGCTTTCAAAATTTCCACACCTGAATTTTGTGATGCAGTTCTTTGACCAGTGTTTACAAAAATGCTTATGTTAGGGGAAAGCGTGCCTAAAAGTGAACACTTTAGTGAAAATTGTTACGATATGAATGCAACGCAGCTGCAAACCAGCTCGATGTTTATGTCACATGATGATGTATATAGAAATGCATTGTATTTGGATAAATTACTTGCAAAAATGTGTACATCAGTCAAAACGGCAAAAAATGTGTTTATTAGTTTAAAAATCACACTAAACTGCTGAAGAATTTTCATGATGATCTTTTTTTAAAAGAACAAAAACTTTTTTTGCAATTGCTGCAAAAATGTGGCAATCTGAATTTAAGATTGGAAAAATGAGAAATGGAGAGATCCAAAAATGACAGGTCTTTCCATTTCAACCTGCAAGTCCCACTGAATCAATTGAAGCTTTGCTCAATTCTAAATGCAATATTTTCCTGCAATCATTTCACCAAGATTTATATAGAAAGCACTTCTCCAAGTAGGTTGTGTATTTTAAATGCCCCCCCCCCCACGATTTAGACTACAATATTGTTTGTTTATGCCTAACATGTTAAGAAATTGTAAGAAGTGGCTAATGATATTCTCTTTAGATTTATGCTAATCTTTTCTCTAATCTGCACCGCAAGAAACCATCAAAGATCTGCAATTGGATTACTCAGATACAGTGCCTTGGTAACTTAACTTTCATAATTCCAGTATGTAGATTATGCAGGTTTGTATTTATTTGTTTAATTAGCATACTTTACATATTTTAGTGCTGTTGTCTTTAACAAGGATTTTGAATGCAGGTATGGATAAGACACCTGCAAGCTCTACGCTCTGGTCGCTGAAAATCTAGTTGAGCTACTTTTGATTTGCCAAGATTTCACAATACATTTTCAAGTTTTCTCCAGGGTCAAAAGAAACAGCAACTTGCATTTAAATGCTTCAGGCTGATCTAGGATCTCTACAAGTATTTCAGCAAACTGGAATGAAGATTTCCATTTAGTTTTTAGCAGGCATCTGTCTCGTTTTATTTATTCAGATTTCCTCCTCCAGGGATTAAAAATAAACACACTACACAATGCAAGTTATGCTTATTAGCCCTATTCAGTATTCTTCCCTCCAGCTCTTCCTTATAGGAGTCTTACTGATAAACCTTGGTGTGAAATTAATTGATAACCTCCCTCCCCCTTTAAAGATGTTTCTTAGGGCACATCCAAACCCACCTGCAAAAAAAATGGATTTACTGTGATTCAGAAATGTTGGGGAAATGTACTGGCAAGTGTAGGATTGGATGTAATGTCATGTACTCTTCCTGCCAACAAATCAGAAAGAATGTTCAACAAATAGCCAACGTGGTCCAATCTTCCCTGCCAACAAATCTTGCAGAATGCTCAATAAACAGGTAATCTGGCAGTATTCTCATAGTTTAGCAGGAAAGGAAAATAAACCAGAGTTATGTGATCTACACAGAGCTAGGAAGTATTCGTGGAAAATGGGAAGTGAGGGCATTGCCCACATGCTCAGCTGTTTGCACATGCCTAAATCATCTTCAGTGAGTGAAGGTCGCTGATAGATCATAGATTGCATAAATAAAGAGCTGTGGGGTCAGTCTTGACATGTATTGAACCTTCAGATTATAGCCCCTGGAGGTCTGTAAAATGACCTCAAGCTCCTGCACCCTCATTTATGCTGCTCTGTTATGGGGTAATGCAATTGCACCTTGAAAGAATTCAATTTCGGGAGATGGAATGTGCACTTCTTTAAGTGGCTTCTGACCTCCTTAATGGAGTCTACATATGCTGAACAGGAGATGCTCCCAGAACGACTGCCAACAGTAGGAGCTAAGGCTGATTGACATTCTGTTGCTTAATACCACCTGCCTCGTGCTCTTTTTAGTTCTGCATCAATGGTAGGCAATGCCTGCTTTTGAAATGCCATATATTTAAATAAGTCATCATTCGCAAATAAATGCTGAGCATTTATTATGATCATTTTCATCTTTGAGAAAGATAACAACCTTTGCAGGAGCAGCAGACGTATTTAAGATTGCTCCTTTGTTATTTTATGCTTCTTTATATATGCACTCCAGTTCAGAGCACCCTGGCCCTGACTGGTGGATGTTGTACTCAGACTTCCATCTTGGTTTTTGCCAAAGTCTTTAATGTGAAGGTCAGTATGATACATAAATCCGGCTTCAAAGCATTCAGATTCCAGGTGTCACAATGGTCTAAGTTCATGGCTAGGCATAAGCTAAGAAAACATTGTCCCAACACTAGACTTGTCTCCAAAGCTCTCCTTTTGAATACCGGGGGGGGGGGCAGCCATTTATAGAATCCTAGAACTGTAGAGATGGAAGAAAACCCAAAGGTCATCTACCCCAACTCCCTGCAATGCAGGAATTTGCATGGTTGACGTCCCGAGCCACGGAATGGGGCAAGCAAGTGGGCGTTTCTCCAGGTAGGCTGAGTCTGTTTCTGCCAACACAGTTTTATAAACATCCATGGTGTTGTAAGCAAAGTCAGTTGGGCCAGCTCACTATCTGATCCAGGCCCATGCAGAGCTTGTTTGAAGTCCAGGACGGGAATCATGTTAGAATAAAGTTATAAACTCAAAGCAGCCGGTCCCTAGAGGGACGCCCCCCCCTCCCCAGCCAGCTTAGCCCTTCAAGGCCTGGGGAAAGTGAACCCATCTGCCCCCCCCCGCCCTTCTGCATGGGCCTGGTCTGATCTGTCCCCAGGCATTTCCCAGAGATGGACAGCTCTTTGCTGGTGGGAGGTGGTGACGGAGACACATGCAGCTGCTATGGTGATGTATAATTTGGGGTGTTATACAGTATTGAAAGCAGAAAAAATGAACACAAAGCATCCTTAATACACAATAATAAGGATGTCTGTAGGGGCCCTAGATTAGCAAAAGTGGCAAGAAGAACCATCAATCAATATTCTTCCTTTGGGATTAATCTGTCATCGCATTTAATCCCCCTCTAGCTATTAATTGAATATAATGTGATTGTGACCTTTCATTAACGAAATTCTGCAAAATGCTTTGTAAACTAATTTGCACATGAATCTGATTAAAGCAGAAGCGCTCTACGCATTTATCTAGGAACTTACTTCTGAGTAGACAATTGCAGTTAACCAATGCAATTGTAGCAATGCTATTAAAGCAAAGTGACATGGGCTGGGGAAAATCTTGATGTCTACATGCAGCATTTGATGTATATAACCATAATGTCTGTGTATAAATTTGCACAGGCTCTTAATTTGATTAGTTCCTTGGTATTCATTCCAAAGTGAACTGAAGCCAAAGCATTTGGTCATATTTATCCTGTATTCCACTTTCCTCCCTCTCACTCACTTTTGTTGTCTTTCCCCCACCTCAAACTAAATTTAGACTGTAGATTCCTTGAGTCCTGTGGTACAGAGAGGAGGCCAGAGATGGAGGCATGGATTGCAAGAAAAGAGCTGGTCACGTTAGAGGGTTAGCCCTTTAAGACTGACTCCAGCTTCAAAGGCTGTCCAGCTACTGACTACAGCTACAAAGACTGACTCCAGCTACGAAAGCTGTTTCCGCTGCTCATGATGCCTAGAGACTCTCAGAGTGTGATATTGATTAGGAATTGTTGCTGGTGGTCAAGAATTTGTTTTGGAGCTGCATTATTTTTTGCCATTATCAGGATTATGTTCTTGTATTTTAAGTGTTAGACTTTATCTTGAATTATCAGTGGATTGTTTTATAATATACAATATACTTTTGTTAGTTTATTGTTTATGGCTATTTAAATTTTGTTATATCTTGTGACTGTTGGTGAAAGATGTAAACTTTTCCTGTTGTGGGCCACCTTGAGCATGATTTCCTATGCAAAGTCAGCATACAAATCAATGGTGATAACAATTCTCTGGCTCCATCACATGTTTACAACAAACCTCTGAAGTAGAGAGCTTTGTATATCCATGGAGGTTCCTTTTGCAAGTGGGAGTCCTGGGAGAACGGGGTTTCTACTTTCACAGCAGCCTCAACAAACACAGTGCACTTCCAGACTGATGCTATTTTTGAATGGGATTCAATCACACACCGGCAATTTCAGATTGGGCAACTATAGTTGATTGGTAGGCCTTGTGAAACAAATCCACACTCCCCTCCCCACAAAAAAAGTTGGGCATCTTGTGATAGGGAAAGTAGCAGAAAAATGGGCTTCCAAGAGTGTGATAATACTTGCTTTGACACGACTTCATCTAACGTCCCTGCAAACAAATCAGGATGAATGTCAGTATAGTTAGACTGCTAGGCTAGCACCTGGGAGACCAGGGTTCAAATCTCTACTCAGCTTTGGGCCAATCACTCACTCTCAGCTTTACCTACCTCACAGGGTTGCTGTGAGGATAAAATGAGGAGCTGGAGAGTTATGTACACCATCTTGAGCTCCATGTGGGAAAGATGGAACATAAATGTAATAAATAAAATAAAATAGTCAATGATGTCTGATCTCCCTGCAAACAAACCAGGACAAATGTGCAGTTCATCTGCAAGTGCCCACTGCAGAAGTTTGCTGCAAACATGTGAAGGCTAAATGAGAATCCTCACTGTTGTGCTATCTATATTTCCTCTTCAGGCAATAGTGCCTTAAGTGGGCTAGAGTATTCTGTTATTTGAATTCACAGTTCATCTGCAACAGCAACACATACAAACCCATTTGCCACAAGCCCTGGCAAATAGCACTGGGAGCTGAGATCATTTGCCAACATACAGGAAAGCGCTCCAAAATGTGACCCAGTTTTACTTCAGCGGCAAGTCATTACAATTGGGGTTTTTAGAATGACAGTCACTGTTCTACTCGTGGGTGATTATTAATCACAAAGAAAGCCCGGTCCTTTCAATCAATGGAAAATTAAAAGGCTGCTGACCTCCATGCTGTTCCCAAATCCTGCAAATGCAGCCTTTGCATTACTACCTGTTTAAAGGCACGTAGAATCTCAATTAGAGCTTGCATAGGATTGCGTTATGGATTGAATAATGAGAGAGCTGGATCAAACTTCTTCAGTCAATGCCAAGCGAAGGAAAAGTGTTTTGTTTGTATTTTTTTAAACTGCCAGATCATTAAAAAAAATGTTTTCCCTTATTAATAACACCACGCATTGCCAACATACTTAACACTGTGAGTCTTGTTTCCAAAGCTGAATAGAATAAGATGCTTGAAACAGCAGTTCAGTAACATTCAGAATGGCAATGGAAAAACAAATTCTGGTGGCAAGATGGTTTTGTGTGTCTTTTGGGGTGAATTCTGCTGAGCCTTCTTTTGATTGAGAGCCAGCTGGAGACGGTTGGTTTCTAGTTTGCATTCAGAATATGCTTGCAGGGAACTGCTAGTGGGTGCCATTTATCACTAACAGTGACTGTAATATTGGGTGCCATATGGCTCAACCTACTTTAGTAAGGCTTTTTGACAGTAGGGAAAATCACAGCCTATCGGGGTGGAGGTAGTTATCTGCTCTAGCAAATGGTGCACCACAAAGAGATTGTTTCCTGTTTTCTGAAGCTGGGCAGAAATCACAATGAGTTTGTACTCAGTTGTGTTAATAGTTTGACAAACTTATTTGTTCTTTGCCTTACTAATATGCAATTGTGTTTTTGGTATTATTGTAATGTTTGTGAATGTTTAATGCTATTGTTCTTATGGTTAGCTGCTTTGAACTCAGCATTGTTGCTGGAAAAGCGGAATACAAATATTAAATCAAAAGTAGGACCATAGACAGCTCACCGTGGAGCTGCACAAAGTCAGGCTGGGTATTGGGCACCCACATTTACTTCATCAATAAATTGGAGCTAGCTTAGTGCATTCCACACAGCAGTGTATTGTGAAATCTGTGTTGCTTCTGCAAGCAAGATTTGTTCAATGTCCACCTGATGTCCTCATCAAGATACTGTCAAACTACCAACACCTACTTCATAAGAACATAAGAACTGTCTGAAGATGTATTTTTGGAGATCTTCACAATACCATCGTAGCTTGGATCTCAAATTTCTTGGCTCCTGAAGAAATCGGCTCCTGAATGATTGAAACCTGGAAGTGAGTGTTCGGGTTTTCAAATGATTTTCGGAAGCCGAACATCCAGCACAGCTTCTGTGGCTTCCAATTAGCTGCAGGACACTCTAAATTGGAAGCCGCTCTGTGGTTTTCAAATGGTTCTGTGAGTCAAATGGACTCCTCAAACGCATTCTGTTCAAGAACCAAGGTACGACTGTATCTTTTTGCTTTAATAACCCTGAACCATTTCAGGTGTCATCAGCAAACTTGGTGTGCCGCTGATCGCAGGCCTCAGTTGATGTAGGCAATAATCCAGTTAGGGCAATTTGAGAGGGCCTGTTGGGGCTAAAAACCTGGATTTAAGTATTCTAAATAAATAAGCAATCACTGACCTGAATGCTTCATCTAGCCAGTTCTCAATAGAACCCATACAATTAATCACCTCAACCCTGAATTACTGATCAGTGTTTAAAGACCACCAGCTGAGTATTAAAACAGCAACAGCAAAAAAGAAGCAAACTATCAGCATCTTCCCCTGCTATTCAGTTTGGATGAGATCTTGCCCTTCCTCCAACGATTTAAGGTTTAGAGCCATAATCAACCTAGTCCCCCATTAGTAAGGCCCCAGCAAAATTCCCTTTTAAGCTTCCAACCAACAAGGGAGGCCAAGTCTTGTTGGTCTCCTCACCACTGCCACCCAACATGAATTTCTTCTTCATTGATGTCTGGTCTTTGTCCAGCCATGGCAGCAGCAGAGTGAATGAGGAAGAATGACTCATGCCAAATTCATCTAGTTTTATTACTGTCAAACTTTTCAAAACCTCCAGTGAACCTAAAAAACAATATTGTCTCTTAGCAGACAAGCAGAAAGCCAGCACATAAGAAATTTACTTCCCTGCAGCTTATTCTCCTAGCAATATCCTCTTTCTCTTAGCTTTCTCACAAAACACTGTGATTCTTGTCCAGTTTCTGGAACACAAAAGCCATATAATGTTTACATGGCATAGATCTGAGCAGAAAGGAATGATAGGTTTAATTTCACAGGTTGCGGAGCACTCTCAACATTCAGATGCAGAAAGCTGAAAACTGCTCATCTTGCTGGAGAGGCTGAGCAAATAAAAGATACCAGTAAACCTAGCTGCTGTAGCCTGAAATTATTTTTTTGTGTTTTATTTCTAAGATTCTCCTTAACTGCAAGATGTGTTTCCTGGACATTAACAGCAAAATTTAATTTTTGAACCATTCTTTTTCACCCTGCAGACAGACAAAAAACACCTTATGTCATGTGTATCAAATTGCTCTATAAATTGGATCTTCTGTAGTTTTCACATTGCAAAAGGTACAGAGAGACCTGACTGGCCCTATCATTAGGCAGAGTGAAGTAGCCCCTTCAGGCGGCAAATGCTGAAGAGCGGTAGACAGCAGGGAGGTGCTGAAGGACAGCACTCTGTGTACCATGCGGCCTACTCTGTTCCTGCTAAACTCGCCTTAAGCTAGCCTGCTGCCCTCAGTTACAGTGGACCATGCCCATCACCACTATTTGTTGGAAGCTTGGATGCAACTCAGCTTGCTGAGTGGGGTTTGCATGGAGTTTAGACAGATAGGATACGTGACTTCCAGATTCCCAGGCTATCACTGTACCTTTATCTCTATGCCAACTTCTTTCTATCTCTTTGATGTTTTGATGGATATATCTTCGATTACATCCTGTTTACCACTTTTTCCTCACACGTTCCCTGGACTTCAAGGTGAGAGGGCATCTTGTATCTATATCCTGAGAACAAAGAGGGAACGTGGCCTCTTTGTTTCTCCAGCTAAATACTTAGCTGGGACTGTAGAATTCTGTAGGTACTTCCTTTACTAAACATTAACTTTCTTATTTTAAACCAAGTCTCAGTCTGAACGCCTTTCAGCTAAAGGTGTGCTCCAAGCAAGGATTCATTAACTAAAGTTAACTTCTCTGCTAACACCGCTGATGCCAAAAGCTGGTCTAGTTGGCTTCTGTACATAGAATGGGGAGGGAACGCTGTATATTATTTACAAAAACTACAGATAGACAACCTTTGAAAAAGAGGAATTCTCCCTTTTTTCTCATACATCTCACCAAGATAATGCCTACTGCTGCAAATGTGCATGTCATTGAAAAATAAAGTATGCTAATTGCTTCAGAAGTATTTGTTTTACCCATGTGCCAAGGTAATCAACTGATCGATCAGCTAAAGCTCCTGCGATTAATCAAGTAAGATTCTTTAATCAGGTGACAGTCCTATCTTTGATCAGCAATATCTCATGCATTCAAGTCTACAAATTGGGGACCCACACACATGGATGAACTTGCCCTCTAGTTTCCCAAGGGCAAAGTAGAGACATTAACACTTCCTCGCTTTTCTGGACTGTTGTGCAAATTAATTAGCTAACACCTTCCACAACACACACACATGCTCAGCATTTGAAACAGGCAAAATGCCAGCTGAGTCTTCCTGCATGTAGAGCCCTCAAGTTGCCAGACAGTAAGGAGGTGAAAGCTAACAGCACTATTTACAGGCATGCTGCTTTGTGCTGCCTCCCACATCTGTCATCTTACCTTACGGTTCACAGCAAGAAATAATTCATTTTTTTCTGCTTGAGTTAACACATTACCATGTGCCAAGGTTACCTC